ACTGCCACTGCCACTGCCACTGCCACTGCTACAACTACTACTGCTGCTACTACTACCACTACTACTACTACTACTAATGCTACTAGACTACTTACTACGAGTAGTACTACTTCTGCAACAACAACAACAACTACTACTACCACTACTGCTTGTACTACTACTACGACTACTACTACTACGACGAACACTACTACTACGAATACTACGAATACTACTACTACTACTACTACTACTACTACTACTACTGCTACTGCTACTGCTACTGCTACTGCTACTGCTACTGCTACTGCTACTGCTACTGCTACTGCTACTACTACCGCTACTACCACTAGCGCCTCGCGAGATGGCGCCCGAGTGCCCGAGGCGCAGGATGTCCACCTCGCAGCTGGCCTCGATGCCAAGGCCAAAGAGCACCAGGCCGAGCATCGCCTGAAACTGGCCCAGAAGTCTGGGGGGGCGGGGCGGCGGGGGCAGGGGCAACTTCCAGTTGCATTTTTGTTGGGGGCCAAGGGGAACTTCCAGTTACGGTTTTGTCCACAAGAAAAAGTTCCTCTTTCCAGTAGCGGTCGATTCCCTGTAAAACCAACAGGGGAAAATGGCTAGAAGACGGGGGGGGGGGGGCCGAAAGCAATAGCAGCGCGCGGCAACAAATTCTCCCAGCAAGTTGTCTATGCAAGTTCTTCTGAGCAAGTTGTTGGTGCGAATTCCTCCGAGAACAGGGGAGACCCAAAATGGATTGTGGCTTCCTGTTGGCATCCCTTTACAACAACTCCAAAGGGAACAAAACACAAAGCTCTGTCCTTTTCGGAAAGCATCCAAGGCTTTGCTAATAGCATGCATGCAAACTGAACCTATTGGTCATTGAAAACGGAGCTACCCCATAAAACCAGGAAGCAGAACCTAGTAACATGTCCAACGCGGATTTTGGGAACTCGGATCTCAGCGCCCGGATCGAAATGACAAAGGCGAGGTGGTTCAAAGGGACCGGACCCAAAAGTATGCTGGAGAACACCTCAAAATGCTCACTTTTAAAAAATAAGTTATAAATAAAACAAAAATAACTCCTTAAACGGAAGCAGGGGGGGGGGCACGGCAGCCTCTTGGAAGGCATGTAACTCAACACGCATGCCAACAAAGAAGTGAGGGAAACTAATTAAGACTGCAACATGGCTCCCCCAGGAGCCACCACTGAGCATGCTCAAAATGGAGCATGCCATCCCAATGCATCCCTAGACAAAAACCCGCGAAGGACAGCCGTATATAACCCAAGAAGGAAGGATCGCCTTTCAAAAGCCCAGGCGAGACTGAATTTCCATTGCGACCGACCCTTTGGCTGGATGGGAGATCCATGTGCACCAGCCATTTTCGATGTTCCAACACAACTCCTAGGTTGCTTCGCTGCAGGTAGAAACGCCCCAGCCTGTTTCCCGCCTCAACCCACATCGAACCAATCCCAAGGTGGGCTCGGGAATGTCAAGGGACCTTCCGGCGATGTCCATGTCCCTCAGCCCAAACCTGGTGCACACAAAGAACCTTCTCTTCCGATTCTGCTCCACAATTATATTTGGCCAACCAACTTTTTGGAGGAGACCGCAACATCGGCCCTTCCCGACCTGAAGACACAGCTCATCTTTTGGAGGAGACCCACTCACCCCCTCCGACCCCTCCGACCCCTCCGACCCCTCCGACCCCTCCGACCCCTCCGACCCCTCCGACCCCTCCGACCCCTCCGACCCCTCCGACCCCTCCGACCCCTCCGACCCCTCCGACCCCTCCGACCCCTCCGACCCCTCCGACCCCTCCGACCCCTTCGACCCCTTCGACCCGACCCGTTCGACCCGTTCGACCCGTCGACCTGTTCGACCCGTCCGTCGAGTTGACCCGTGCGACCTGCACGGAGACCTCCACGGAGAAGGGCACGAAGCGCAGGGCGCTGCCCATGCCCGACAAGCCCAGGAGGTACAGCGCCAAGCCTCGCGCTCGAAACGCCCGAGCCGAGGATTCGAGGATCGGAGACACGAGACCCGCCGGGGCCCGGTAGGAAAAAGCGATGGCTGGTTGGTGCCATGTTGGGGCATGGGAAAAGGGACGCCCCGCTTTCAACTTTGGGCAAACCGCGGCACAGAAATGGTGAACCCTTGTCAGTTGGTTGCCCGGATTGCCCCTAGTATATTTATAACCTCTAGGGAGACTCGCCGAGTGGCCAGATGCAAGAGTTGCACAGCTGGAGCACAAGATAGTCGATGCCAGCACAGACTCCTTGCGATGCGGAAAACGCTTTTCTTACTGCAGGGGGGGGCTATCAACAAACCAGGCCGGGCTATCAACAAACCAGGGAAAAAGTGGACATGTTGAGGTTTGTCCCAAAGCATTGGGAAGCCCTTGGTGTTCCGTCTTTTTGCTTTCAAATGTGTAAAACCAAAGGTGCCGTGCAGAAAAGGAACGCGAAGCTGCCAAAGAACGGCCTGATTTCGTCCCACGCTTCTACCCTTCGACTTGGGCATTTGTGAGCCTTTGCCTTCATAGCGGGTGTTTTTTCAAGTGATGTATGCCCACTAAACAAACCGTCCCAAGGCTTTGATGTACGATCTGCATAACATTACCCCTTTACCCACAATATAGAGCCGCACAAAAAGCTGAGGGGTAGACCAAAAAAACAGTTTCCCTCCTCGGATCGCTGCGGCTTGGGCGGATCACTCTGCAAGCTATTTTTGGATCCCAACAACGGCACAATTTTCTTTGGGTGAACGCCCCTGGGTTGGCCCGAGGTGCCATGGTTCACCGAACCGCATGCTCAGAACATTGAACTTCGGCTAGCATGTTCTTACAGAACTCCTGGTAGCTCCTTACCCTTACTGCACTTAAAGGGGCATTGCACTTAGTAAGTGGCTAGTAACAGTAAGCCTCGTAAAGTAACCCACAAAAGTCATGGTAGGTCTCTGTGTGGTTAGAACTCACTAGGCTTACAAAAGGCCACTTGCCTGATTCACTGATGTACCGAATCGATCGCTTTTCGTGCGGTCGAGCATCGTTTTGCTCCGGCGCCATGAGAGAGATCTGCTCCTTGCGGCTCCCCAGTCGCTCAGTTTTTTCTCCCCAGTGTCAGATGGTACAGAGAAAGCACCCTGAAAAGAAGAAACTCTTCTAAAAGAGAGGTTTTGTTTTCGGGCTCCAAACATGGATCCGATTCCCAAGGAGATTTCTCTTGGAATGGGTGGGTGTTGAGTGGCCATTGGAGCGCCATCGTTCATGAACGGAAACATGCCGCTGATTCTCACCTGGGTGGATTGGCAACAGTGTCGTCTAGAAAGTGGTTTTACAACTTCAACAACCTTTATCCAAAAAGTATCAATTCCAGCACTTACACAGTTAGTTTGCCACTAATGAAACTTAGGAGGTGAGTCATTAGCAACGAGAAAGACTCGTCGCTTTGCCAAGCACGCATACATCACCAAGCCAGTTGTGCAAAGAGACCATTTTAGAGATCTTGCTTTCGAAAGCGCTCAGACATGTGATGTTGTGGGCCATGGTCATGACCTTCTCAATATGATTCAGTATGGATCCCGATGATGGCTGCCTAACCGCCAGCTAGATGCTCCATGACCAACTGGGCCAGACAGTCAGGTCGCTGCACATCTGGGGTAGGATTGACCGGTGGACTGACGGAGAAAGAATCTCGTTCCAAACCACCATAGCAGGAAAGGGGGTGACTGCGAGTGGCTCAGAATGCAACCCTTGCGGAAATGATGGCAGAGAGGGTTGACTCGAGGCTAGACCTTTGACAGGCGGGGTTGCCCCCCTTCCAGCCTGCATAGCTTTGATGAGAGGGAGCACCTCAATACCTGAGCTACAAAGGCCGAAAGAAACATCAGGTTGTCCCTCTCACGCGAAGCAAGCCCAAATTACATAAACCCTGGAAAGGGTCATTAAGTGGTTGTTTCGGAGCAATCCTGAAAACTGGCTTCAAATGCAGACGTGAGTCCAAGGTCATCTTTGACAAACAAGCCACTCGCAAAACATCGCAATGTGTCTGTGGCTTTCGTCTGTTACTGCAACTGCTCACCACAACGAGCAATAGGCTCGCAGTGGCCAAAAGCCACCATGACCCGTCAATGAGTGCCTGTCGACTCGTTGGCTAATTGATTCTCAGTTGCCCAAGTTGGACCCAGAAATCAAAGGTGATCACTTTTTGGGGCCACTAAACATGGTTTTCCAGCAGAAATCATTTCAAGGCCAAAAGGTCGATTTGCGTATCTCCCAAGCGCTCCAAACCCAGCACCCTTCCAAGGGTCCCCCTCCCAAGTGCTCAAACTTACCGTGGATGGACGAAATCCTGCACCCCCTAAGAAACCCTGAAATGATGATTTTGCTGCAAATACCCACAAGCAATGGTTTCCAACGTGGTGCGAGATTTTGTCCATCCACAGTAGCACCTCCCTCTGCGAAAGGGAAGCTCGCTGAAGCTCCGGCCGGTGCCGTTTTCAAAGGCCCCAGGTGGGCACATCGGAAACCCGACACCCCATGAAACATCGAAGGCGCTGGGCGTGCACAGTGGCGTCTCCTTGGCTTCCGGCTTCGGTGCTAGGGGCACATGCGGATGGAACTCCCATCCTACTGATGGGGGAGGGGGTATGCAGTCCCTCTGTCCATCTGCCCCGTCAACCCCGGGAAAAACAACTTCTGGCAAGCCCTTACCGTGTTACCCATGCTAGACCCAGAGCCGAATAAGATATCTGGTGCTGGCCCAATATTCTAAACTGATACTGCACTACTACACCAATATAATCCAATGATATGCTAACACTAAGTCATTCACACACAATCCAATGATTTGCTAGCAATATATTTGCCTCTGGACATCTTTGGACATGCAGTTGGAAGCCCTCATTCTGACTACATATATGTTCAAGGTGCCTCAAAAGCAAATTCCTACCAATCCTGACACTTTCCTCTAAAAAAGCGGCACCTTTCTGTTGGTGGTTGATTTGAAAGGGTAGTTTATGAGAACAGGAAGCCCCCTTCTAAACAAGGAAGCCAAACGGGGCACCGCTGGAGATGCGGGTAAACATTCAAACACCTGCAACCGAAAGTGAGGAAGTGCGACCTGTCAACTTTCAGTCAAGAGCTCCTGATACACTCGGTTGCTTTCAGCTCCCCTGCTAAAAGTTTAACTTTCAAGTGGTTTAATGGAAAACCCATTAGTTGGCAAAAAGTTAAAGCCCTAACATCCAAGCAAAATGCAGCAAAGTCCATGTTGCATATGACAACTGAACTGTTGGATCTCTTGATCAGCCCCGACCCTTATTTGGTGGCTCTAAAGCATTGCAGTTCAAATGCGCACAACTCATATTGATATGCACTTCACAGCACGGCGCAAACTCAAAAAGTCGCCTTACACGAGTCCATTCAAATCCAATTCGTGGTGCTTGGAACTCTCGGGCCTTTGGGATTCCCACGCCTTGGCAAGCACCGCGCCGAAGGAAAAAAACATGAACAAACATGCGAACACATGCAACCAACAAACATATCAACATTGCAACCGCAAATGCAAAGAAAACGCAATGCAAACATATCAACATTGCCAAACATGCAAAAAGAACGAAAAACAACAACACACACATGATATCAAGCCAACAGCACACTATTCACAGGCCCCAACCTCCCAAGCCCAACAAAGCGGAGTGAAGCTCAAACACCTCTTTGAGGGATATCCTGCGATGGCGGGAGCCCTCTATTGGACGTTGTCTTTAAAAAAAGAGAACGTCAAGAGAACCAAATGGAAACCATCAGCGGGAAAATTGGATGACAATCAAACCTTCTACCCTTTGAAGTGTCTTGCAAATCAAAAAAAAAAACAGCCCAAAGGAGCATCCCAGCTTTTTTGGAGGCCGCTCGCCGCCGAGAGTCGTAGTTTGAGAAGGCCAGAGTGGCCACCTGATATCGTCCGATTCACCGATTCGCCGGCTTGGGAAATCAAAAGGGGGGAAGGACGACCGTACTTCTACGGGTAGCTTCCATTTCTATTCTGTCCAGGCATCCGCATCTTTCTACAAAACCACCCAAAACCCAGGGGAAACAGCTGGTGTTTGAAAATAACGATGCTTGGCAAGAATGGGCAATCAACCCCTACTAATTCACATATGTGAGTCGCAATCTTTAAGACCTGGCAAAGTGGTCCACCCAAACGTGGAAAAGAGCAGCAAACGGTTGTTGGGCTGAAAAGGATCAGCCTGGTTTGAACTTTTTCAAACAAAAGGAGGGTACGCCACATTTGCAGTCGTGGATGTAACAAGCCTAGTCACGATAGAGAATGAGCGTGGTTAGGGACAGAGCCTAATCCAGTGGTCGATCAGTTTTCTGAGACATGGAAATATTGACGGAACAAAACCTGCGAGCCTGGCCCACCAAATGGCCCACCAAAATGTGCTTCAGCGCCAGCCCAGTGTAGTCGTGAAGGCCTTCCTGGGAAGGCGGTCACTGGGGAAGGTCTGACCATCTCCGTTTGGCTCCCCTTTCACTTGGCTCATGGGCGTCCATTACGCAGAATATCAGTTATCAGCTATCACTCTCTTAGATTTCAGCAAAGCAAGGAGACACCAGTTGAGGGGGCCCAAAGCTATGGTCGTGTCTAAAGAAGTTGGGCCCCACTCGGATGGAACCCGCCAAACCATGCAAGGAAACGCCTTTTGGCATGGGTTCCATATTGCAGCGGAGTAAAGTGGCCTGCCTGCGGTTCTGCGCAATGAAGGCCGGCCCTGTTCTGAAACAAATGCCAATTGCTTGAATCGTTCTTAGTCATTGTCATTCTGTAGCAAAATGTCAAATGCAACATATCCCCAGTCAAGGTTGCAGCTCAAAAGGAGGACAATGTCGCTGGCAAACATGTTCTTTTTCAATGGGCTCGCTTGAAACAGGGTGCGGTAAAAACAAAATCAGGTTGGCCAAAACAAAAGACGTCGTTTCAAAGGGTCTCTACATGTAGCAGGCGATGTTTGGGCGTGGCCCAAAGAAGCACACCACATGTCTCTTGCCCTTGGCAGGCCTCAGGCAAACAAAGGCTTGAAATTAAAGGACTATTGTGTTTTACTCGTTGTTTCTCTTGCCTTAAAAAAGAAAACATGAGGGGGTGCACATATTCTGAGAAAATAATGCCAATTTACATCTGGTGTTTTAGCTTACGGTTTCTTAGATTGAATGAATGGTTGGAAATTCCCAGGTAGCCCGGCAAATGTTGTCCGCCGACATTGTTCGGCGTGTCGGATACCTAAGAGAGGATAGAGGACCCCCGCCTTAGTCCCCCCCCGCGACACGTCAATTGCGCAGGGTTTCGGCGTCGCCCCCCCCCCCCTCCGACCGCGCGGCAATTTGATGACGTTCCACTAAAACAGGGGTCCCAGGCTCGATTCCCCCTGCCGGCTCTTTGCTGGTTTGGGGTTCCTGCCTCCTTTTGCCGAAAATCTGGAAAAACTCGGTGCTTTTGGACGTCCTAACTGCGAAAACGCTGGAAAAACAGTGTTTTTGGCGGCAAATATTGGGGAGCAAAGCAAGGAAGTGCAAGGAAATGAGGGGAGGAAATAGGAAGTCGACATGACAGGAAAGCAGCGGGACACGAAAGGGAAACCAAGGGGAACTGAAAGGGACATGCAAGGGACAGAAATGAAAACAAGGGGAGTGAGTGCAGGGGGAAAGGAAAGGGAAACAACGCACAAGGAAACCAATCGGCACGACGGGAGATGTAGGGAAATGACTCGCAACGAAAGAACGGGACATACATGGAAAAATGTCAGGGACATGAAGGGGGGGGGGTTGAACGGCATGGAAGGGACAGGACCAGGACATCATGGGAAACGTGAAAAGGACATGAAGGGGAAATCAAGGGAGAGAGAGAGAGAGCAAGAAAGTGAGAGAATAGAGAGGTTCGAATTAGGGTACGTACCCTTTTTCTGCAGAGGGGCGTGGACAGGAAGGAGACAGGGAGACAGAAAGAGACACAGAAACAGAGACAGCGAGAGAGAGAGAGAGAGAGAGAGAGGAGAGAGAGAGGAGAGAGAGAGGAGAGAGAGAAGAGAGAGAGAGAGAGAGAGAGAGAGAGAGAGACAGAGAGAGGGAGATTGAGGAGACAGAGGCTTGGGGGGATGGGGAGGATGGGGAGCAGAGGGAGGGAGAGAGGACGACAGAACGCACGAGGGAGACACGGCAGAGAGGAAGAAGAAGCAAAGGGAGAGGACAATGTCGGCGGACTGAGCCGGAGGCTCTAAAGTTTGACAACCCCCTCTTCAGGTTGGTGCACGGGGAAACCAGAAGGACAACCGCATTTTTCGGGTCTTATTTGGAGCTTCCCAAAATGCTTCCCTTCAGGACCTGCCGAATAAATACCGTTAGATCGAATCCTGGTATGTATCGAAAATGAAGAACTCAAAACAAACGTACGCAACTCAAATAGTTGCGGTCAAATAGTTGCGGTCTTACTTGGGCTGATGGAGTCATCAGCAGCGGATACGACCGCGAATTTACAATAAGCCCAATGAGACTCCATGTCATAGGCTACTCTCACGATGTCTGGTCTTGCAACACTCCGGATGGTTGACAACAACCTGCAATGGCTTTTCTCACTTCCTGAGTGAATTGGCCAACAAGAAGTTTAAAGTCCAGGAAGTTAGGAAGTAAGTGTTTGAGACTGCTCCCAAATGGGACTAGGTGCGAGAAGCTGAGCCGCAAGTTGGCAAGTCGCCTTAGAACCTCGGGCAAATCTTGGCAAAACTTGGTTCCGTCACAGTGACGTGCACAAACTTACCTGTCAAATCGAGGCTTAAAGGGAGCCAGCCCAAAGCAATAAAACAAAGGTTTGAAGCGGAACACAGGCACGACTCAACAAACCCTCGCTCACTCCAGCAAGCAAGTCCCACAGACGCGCAAACAAACAGAACACCCACCCACCCACCCACCCACCCACCCACCCACCCACCCACCCACCCACCCACCCAGCCACCCAGCCACCCAGCCACCCAGCCACCCAGCCACCCACCCACCCACCCACCCACCCACCCACCCACCCATCCAACCACCCCCCAGGCGCGGCCGCTAAAACGAGGAAAGCTTCTTCGGTACAAAGCACCACAGCCATGCCCACCGCTCGCATGATCACCTTGGACGAGTGTTTTTTTGTTTTTCCCCAGCCCCGACCTGCAGATCAACCTTAAACCTGGCGAATCCACTTAAATAATGGAGCCTTGGCGAAAACTTGGTTGCATTTTCAAGGTTAAACTTTTTGTGGGTTCAAGGGAAAACCCAAATTATGTCCCAAACAGTTAAAGTCTAACGATCCAAGCCAACAGCAATTCAGAAAACCAGCCCAAAACTGAAAAGCGGAAAGCTCCAATCCGATCGATTTGCTTTCTCGCAAGGCTGGCTCGGAGTCCATTACAATTGAAGAGGACACGCCTCCGGAAGAAACTGAGACATCCATTTGCTCAAGGTGCCGCCAGGAAAAATAGCATTCACAGTTGTGACCATTCTTGATTGAAATCCACCGGAAAAAATGAAACGCAAACTTGGCCAAATAACCGAGAATTTCTTGAATCGAGGGCGGACCTTTTCACCGGACTGCTTTAGGCAACTACCGCCCCCTGCCTCCCCCGCCTCGCTTGTGAACCAGGAACATTGATTTGACAATGCTAAACAGAAAGTCTGAATCCGAGCCATGTGCAACGCCCTGCTCAAACAGAGCAGGTCTGAGCTGGGAAACCAGTGTCAAACCCCCTGCCCTCCCCACCCGCAGTTTTCCAGCATGGCACAAACCTCGCACGAAGCCTTTTTGAGGCCAACTTTCGACGCAGCCGTTTGTGAAAGTGCACGTCCATTTTTCAAAGGGGCTGGAAAGGAAAGGAAAGGAAGCAAGGAAGAAAAGGAGGAAGAAAGGAAGGAAGGAAGGAAGGAAAAGGAAGGAAGGAAGCAATGGACTTTAAGCAAGCCTGACCTGTAGAGCCCACGTGCCACAAGC